CGGATGCTGAAAGACTTGCAATTTCTTCTTGTAGCATTCTACTACGTACTACTACCGATGAAAGTAACATTTCTAGCTCAAGTTGTAGAATATCTAAATCCTCCATATTAATACCATCCTCCGCATTTCTTTGTAAAACACTATAGTACCTTGGAAGTACTTTGCTATTATCTATCATTTTTATTACTGGAAGAACTGTCATTTCAGAGCCCTCGGAACTTGTATCGGAATTAACTAACACTGACTGGGATAATTTTCCACTTTCCTTGACCGATTTTATGACTGCTTTTTTAGAATTTTGCTTTCCTTTACCTGACATTTTTAAAAATTGATTTTACTAAAATGTGCATATAAAATATTAAATTTCTTAAAAGTAAATAATCAAATACCCATAGTCACTGTGGATAGGCACACGTATGTATATTAACAATAAATTACGCTCATGTTTCTAGAAGACAAATGGATGAAATTTATGAAAAAGGTTTTCGATTTATTTATATTGAAAAGTCGTGGTAATCGGTAGAAATAGGAATAAAATAATTAATTCGAAAACACGATAAAAATTGGCAATATTAAGTATGAAAACAATTTTAAGGTTAGTTATGAAGGTACAGCTAGGTGCGGTGTTCTATTTTCATTAATGCCGACACCGTGTAGTGGTTGAGTCTATCTGTAACTGCTATCATTGACGAAGAAAAAAAATTAGGTACCCTAATTATTTAACATCTATCTCTCTTTATCCTGTTAATAATCTAATTGCTTAAATGTAAAAATCAAAATGTCTGGATTGGTGAGTAGTTGATTGTTGGTGTAGCAGCGATTCATAAATTTTCTTAGTACGTTGAGTACGTTGGATATAATTCATAAAAATTGAATCAAACGTCGTTTGGCTGTGCGCCATATAAATACATTTTTCGCATGAAATATGTAGGAAAAAGTATTTTAAGCTTCGTCACTGGATACAATTCACACACGTAGATGCCAATTAATTAATTACAAATTTTCAGCATTTTTTATCAAATTATTTATTTTAAAAAAAAAAAAAAAAAAAAAAAAAAAAATAATAATATAGAGTTTGTTATATAATGACTAATGTACGACGAGTAACTGTTTAATAAGTATTTTGTTATTCTTTTCTACTGATTTCTATTTTAATAAATTTGATATAGCTTACAATTTATAGCCATTATAGGAAAATAAAATTTATGTTTTATATATTTATTTGGTAAAAGGCGCAAAAATTATAAATACGTATTAAATGTAATATATTTAAAATTGACGTACACCTTCTGTCGTGAATTATTTATTTATAAAATAATAAAAGTATGGCAGATACTGCAGGCACATCATATCATATAATCTTAACTCACGTTGCAATTAATTACAAATAATCTGCTCTAAATAATTACTTAAAGAGAGAATTAGAATCTTAACTTGCAATCTTAATAATTTTAAATTTTGTTTATCCACAGAGAGCAATGAACGTATGGTTGAACTGCGCAGAATCTGGTAATTACAATACGAGTTACTTTACATTGACCTCAGCTAGTAAAACAGTGCAATTGATTTAGTTTGTTAAGATATTTTGACGTATGACGAGGTCGAGGATTTTTTCGTTAAATTTATCCCTACTTACTACGTTTTATAAGTATAAGGTATATATTCTTCTTATTCTATTAATAATCAACAAATTTCTCATTGTGTCGACACATTCATTCGTTCGAATTTAAATAATCACTTTTTGTAAAAAAGTTTTAAAACAAATGTATTTGAAGAAATGTATATTATGTGTCGATGGATGACTCACGAGATACTTTGTACATTTATAGATAATAATTTTTAATTCAATTTCGATTTCATTTTATTATATGTTAAATTATTAAGTTTTGTTCGAAAAGCATTGTTATAACATTTATGTGTGAATCGTCGTCATTAGACAATAATATACATAGAGTGAATGTTAATGACGTTTTCCGAAGTATTTTAGTTCTAACGTTGTTTGTTGTAATTGAAGTCAAAATGGAATGGCTTTTTGGCAAACGGATCACTCCCGAGGAAATGCTTAGAAAAAATCAGAGAGCATTAAATAAAGCAATGAGGGATTTGGATCGTGAAAAGGTGCGAATGGAACAACAGGAGAAAAAAATCATTGTTGACATTAAGAAAATGGCAAAAGATGGACAAATGGTAAATTCAAGTAATTAAATTTAATTATTTATTTCTTAAAATTATTATAAATGCGGTATTCCCAATTGAGTTAGACTTTATGAAAATTTTAAAATTTGTATAGGACGCAGTTAAAATAATGGCAAAAGATCTTGTTAGAACAAGGCGTTATGTTAAGAAATTTATGTTGATGAAAGCTAATATTCAAGCAGTATCCTTAAAAATTCAAACCTTACGGTCTCAAAATACTATGGCTCAAGCAATGAAAGGAGTCACAAAAGCTATGCAAAATATGAACAAGTAAATTTTTGTAATGCGGATGTCGTTTCATTGAATGGTTAAACAATAATTTAATTATTTTACTTTCTCAGGCAACTAAATTTACCACAAATACAAAAGATCTTGCAAGAATTTGAAAAACAGTCTGAAATAATGGACATGAAAGAAGAAATTATGAACGACGCAATAGATGATGCCATGGAAGATGAGGGAGACGAAGAAGAAAGGTACATTTAAAAATCTTGAATTAAATGACTTTTGAATGAATTTTTCTAATAGATTATATACCGTTGTAGCGATGCCGTTGTCTCTCAAGTATTAGATGAACTTGGTTTACAACTTAACGATCAATTATCAGGGTTACCGCAAGCTTCTGGATCTTTAAGCATAGCAGGTTCAAAGCAGCCAGTCGCTGCTGCAGCTGGTACTAATGACGATGGAGGAAATTTAGCCGATGCTGATGCAGATTTGCAGGCGCGACTTGAAAATTTGCGTCGTGAATAAAGTATGTAATAAAAGTTTGAACATTTAGATTTGTATAAATAATGTATAAAATGCTCTATACTTGTGATAAACTTATAACATAAGATTAAACTTTTTTTAAACGAAAAATAAATGCAGAGGCTTCAAATAAATCTTGTTAAACATGTGCACAATAGATGTCTTGAATATAAATAGAAAACATTAAGATTAAATGAAATTTTTACGAGAACATATTAAAGAATATGAAAAGACCTGCGTTGGCTTATTGTACATTTTGTTCAGTTATTTATTACAATACATTGAAAGAATGACATACATTTATAGAATAATCAATTATTGAATTTATATAACACACCAATAAGTAGGCTTCCTCTTAATGATAATATATTTTTACAGTTTATAAAATTTGTAGACTACTATTAAGTACTATTTAAAAAATTGTATTAAAATTATATATTGAAGAGTGATTTGTACACATTTTTATGATTAGTGATTTAACAATACTTTAAGATCTATAAGATGAAGTATTATTATCTTCTTACAATAAATTTTACAAAGTGTCACAAAAATTATTTTACATTTAAATTAATATAACTGTATTGTGCATACAATCTATTTGTAAAAAATACAAGTTCTAAATAAGACTTGTTTTTAATCAAACATACTAATTTTTTTTCATAAAAAAAAAAAAAAAATGTTAAATCTTTATAATTTTGTACAAGATCAATTTAATGCGGTTACTTACAAGAAAATAAAGAAAAATTAATATTTGTAATAATTAAATGTTAATTCCTTAAATATTTTACAATTAATTATATGCATGAGTAGTTGATAAACAATAGATAGTTACGATATGGAACAATAAGATTCGAAGTATGGGGTAAAAGTATAACAAGTAGGTACAATAAAACATACAGCCTTAATTTTGTCAAATATTGAATTATATTGTACATACATCACACGCATGCACGCGTGTACACGGGACATTCGTATTTATGCGTGCGTCTGTGAGACGAGCACGTTATATGGAATACGATGGGAATATTTTTTTTATTGTGATAATTAACAATTTAAGTAAGGAGTTTGGGCAGGGATATTTTATTGCGTATGTGCTTGTCGAGTATTTTTGTAATGAGTGTAGAGACAAGCTATTATATGTTTACGAGTAGAAAATTCATTCCATGTTAAATATTCTTGTACTCTCGGTTGTAATCAAGTATTCTTTCTTGTTTTCACTTAATGATCGGTTCTGTTTGTGTTTGTGTGTTTTTTTTTTTTTTTTTTTTTTTTTTTTTTTTTTTTTTTTTTTGTTTGATACATATTCCGTGAGTTTATGTTTTATAAACGATAAATAAAAAATAAAAAATAAAAGTTTATGCTCGAGAAGTAGAATGAAGGTGTATGGTAATGACGAGTGGTAGATGTAAAGAAAGGAATTAACCCTATTTGAACGTTCGTTGAAAAAAAATTTGCTTTCATTTTTATATTTACAAATGGTAAAAAATTATAATTAAAAATTCTTTATTTTAATTGAAATAATAATAAATGAAAGTGAAGTTAAATATTATTCATAATGTTTATTTTCTTTCAGCTCAATTTTTATATTATTTTTTCAGTTATTTATAAAGATCTAAGCATGTAAAGTTTAGTTATTGAAGAGCCAACAGATTGAATTATAATAACTTAACAATGTGTTGAAGATGATAGGAGAGTTAGGGAGGGAGGATCCCTAAGGTGAGTGAAATTCGGTAAGGGTAGATACTTTTTGATATGATAGAATAATGACAGGGAAGTATAGTTAGATATGTACATAAATCTACAGCGAATCTCCATCGATTCTTAAAGTAATCATCTTATTACATTTTTTTTTTGGTTTTTTTTTTTTTTGTTTCTTGCTGACTACATATATTGTCATTACCGCCGTTGTTGCTGCTCATTTTCATCAAAATACAACTTCAACATAGGACACTAATCCATACGTGTATACATATAATCATATATTGATTTATTTTCATTTACGCAACCATATATTCATATAAATCGCGCGCTTACTGTTTAATGGTCATTGGGTGTAAAACTTATTTTTGCAACAAGTCGAGGGAAATTGGTATTTGTTAATGGAATTATTGTATTGGCTTGTTTATCATTTTTAAGTCTATTCACTTGTCCCCATGCTCTCATACTTTCTATGATGTCTTTTCGCCTTCATATTTAATTTATAATAATCTTGCTTTATAATTTTGATAGTTTAGTGTCAGATCTTTCACTTTTCAAAACCATAATAAAAATGACAACTATATATTATTAGCATATCGAGTTATTTACTTGATAGTGTTGTTTGTTTGTTTGTTTGTTTGCGTGTGTGCGCGCGCGCGCGTGAGTATGTGTATTGGCATTTACGTGGGTAGGCGCGTGTCTTTAAAATTAATTTATAACATTTTTTTTTCCCAATAGCTTAACATGGATTTTAATATTATTTTTTTGGACTTCGAGAATGGAAACGAAAAAATTTATGTGAATGGATTTGAACATGTGATTGGTTAAATATACTAATCGTTTGTTCAATTATATATATAAGGAACTTCTTTTTGACAAGGATTTACTATCTACTGCTAAATGATTTTTCTATTGGTAGAACAATCGCTAGATCGAAACTTCATTACAGGTCTGCTTCCTTCAATCCTTCATTCCTTCGCGGTGGTCAACGTCTGCAGAAAAAACAAATATGACCGAGTAGACTAGAAAATTTTTAGCACAAAGGTAGGTCAGGTACTTAACCTAGTTGTTTTATTATATTCTGACATTGTTTTTTTTTTCTTCTTCTGGTCACAATAATCATAAATATTGAATATTGCATTATCATTGAATTTAAAACGAATTACACGCGTACGTCATTACAAGAGATTTATGTTTCAGAACATACCAGTGATGCTGAAATATTCTCATTTCATTAATTGGTGAAGAAAAGATCTTTCTTAAAGAGCCAATGTATGTAATGATTGTATTGACTATCGGAAATTTCAGATGACGAGCATTAATGATTAAGGGAATGAGCTTTGGATACTACCGAATCACGAATTTTTGCGCTAACTCAAAGGCTTTTAGATAGTAGCAATAATTGGAGAGATATTCTTTATAATTTTAGTTGACTCTGTACATCTTTTTTATTTTTAAAAGCCAAGCTTTTCATTTAGTTGTTAATTTTGAAGATAACATTCGTTTATTATTAAATGATTATCGCGGAATAAATAGAGAACATGACATTTTTCATACTTTTTAGATATTTACAATTACACAAAATAAATTGCTAATGAAAACAATATCTGGTCATTGGAAATAATAACAATTTACATACTGAATAGTCACTGCCACAAGCAATCTAATAAAAGCAGAAATAAAAAATACAAATATTTTATTATTGAATGCTTATTGGTTGAAGAGTATTTTTACTTTTTACGACTTACTTTGAGATGATCATTGTAAACTTGTTATAATTATTTGGAAAATTTAAGGTAATTGAATTGCTCTTAAAAATCTTCGATGAAAATCAACAATTTGAAAAAATTTGTAATTAAGCGGTCTTCCGCAAATGCATTATCTGTAAAATGTATGATGTTTATGTGCATGTATACACAATGTAGGCCTGGTAGCGCGCCCGTGTGTCCGTGTATGTGCGTGTGGACGCGTGGTTTTGCGATTTGGGACGAATTGCAATGAAAGAAAAGGAGGGATTTATTTTATAAAGTCCATCTGAATTTTATGCACCCACATAGATAATTGCACGTATGTATGGATAGTTGCGTAGTGTCATCGGCTTACATAATATTTTCCCCATATCCACATAAGAAATTTTATTTTTTCAATATAATATGTATTTGGTATCTCTACGATGGCTACATAAAAGCACACATTCGTCGCACACTTACCAAGGTACGCGCGTGATAAATCATCTAACTAAGAAATGGATATCTTAGTATCCGTGTGCGTTAATGTCGTGAGCATTGTTTTTCGTTATTCATCATATAATTGTATATATTTTACATATTTACAAAGAGTGTCGAAGGGGCTGCGTGTCGCACGAATTCAACTGATCGAGAGTTCGGGACCAAGTACAAAAAAGAATTATGATAACCAATCAAAAAACTCTCGTATCTCGTATTCGATTCCTCGTTTTGTGCATCCCTCTGACTTTTATGATGATGATGATGATGATGATGATGATGATGATGATGATGATGATGATGATGATGATGATGATGATGATGATGATGATGATGATGATGATGATGATGATGATGATGATGATGATGATGATGATGATGATGATGATGATGATGATGATTATTATTATTATTCTTATCATTATTATTATCATGCAGATCATATAATATGCGTATAGGCGTGTGGAGTTTAAATTCTTTATCGAGTGATTATTGTTTAATGATGTCTTGGTTCTTACAATTTGTATTTATAAGCATATAAAATGAGAAGAATAATAAAACAAGTATTGACGATACATCGGCTCTTTATAGTTTAACGTTTGTTGCAAGTATTATAGTTGTACGATCGATGTAAAAATTTTTACCCTACAGACTAGGCATCATCGAAGGGATCATTTAAAGCGTCATTAATGATAAAATTATTTTTTTTTCTCTCTATGCTAGCGTATGCTCTAATCAATCTAATATGTAAGTCAGTTCAATAATCATCAAAATATATTTGGTTTTTAGGGCAAATATAAATGCCATTCGTTGCTTCATAAGATTTTGTCATTCTGTAAGCGGACTTTAAAGGACTAATTTTTCTCTTCCTCATATCTCGTTTATTTATTTTTTGTAAAGAAGTATGGAAACTCGAGGGAATATAGTATATCGACACGTTTTTTTACCCTACAAGGATAACATTTTTTTCTCTTTATTTACACAGATATTTTATACTAAATCGTATTTATTGAATAAAGTTTTTATTCTTTTATTCTTTTATTCTCTCTCTCTCTCTCTCTCTCTCTCTCTTTCTTTCTCTCTCTATCTATTTTCTTTTCTTTTTTCATTTTTAATTCTTCCAGTGTATATGTGACGCATCACCGATATGTAACCTTAATTTTAGATCGTTGAACGATATTTATCTTGTGAAAGGAATGCGGTATTATAGAACAGCAAAAATGAAATTGATGAAATAAATGGCAGAGTAAGGAGATTTGTTGGTAAATGGCAACTGGTATGGCGAACAGAGTGCCTCGCGCGAGTCTTTATTATTCAAAAAGGTTGAAAAATGTTAAGAGCACTAGATCAAGTGGACAAGGAGATAACATGCTGAAATATCGAAAGAAAAGGTGTGTGCGAAGATGGCGAGGATAAAATAAAGTAAAGGGAGGAAGGAAGGAAGGAAGGAAGGAAGGAAGGAAGGAAGGAAGGACAGGACAGGACGTCTTCTCGCGTAGAGGCACAAATGCAATTCACGCGACTCTTTCAACGAAAGAGCACTGCTCAGCAGTAGCAGTAGCAGCAGCAAACAAATAAACGGCAGCATCCTTAGGGAAGGTCCGCCGAGGCCTGAGTCATATAGTCCATACCTGGACCTTCTCGGCTACGATGCACCAGCTCGCATGGTCATAGTACGATGATATGACGTGAAGGTTCTCAATGTATTTTCCGATTAATTGGTCGAGCTCGCCTTCGCGGAAAACGTGATAGTATTGGTGATAGGTGATCTGGTCTGAGGGTAGGGATTCTTGGGACGAAGAGCCGCTGAGTGTGCCGTTGCTCGTTGACGGTTGTTGCTGTTGGCGGCGTAACCTGGCTCCAGGGATCTGTTGTCGCTGGGGCCGCATCTCCTCGGAAACGGAGCGCGTCTGAGGGCAGAACCGTGGTCGCGAACTCCAGGAGGCGCTAAGCCGACGGGGCCCCGATGAGTCCGGCTGGCTACCCTCGCTCGTTCCAGTTGAGTCGGTTGACTCGAACGATCCCCCGGAGCGGCGTCTATTATTCGGATTCCTCCACATCTCAGCTCTATAATCGAGCTCATGCTGGACGGACGAATCGGCTCCTTGTTTACGGCTCACTGGGTACCTGTCGACGATTCATGCATTTTATCGACGATTACGGGAGTCAAACAAGATTTTGGGGCAACGATCGTCGAGCGAATCGGATTTCCTTTATATTTTAATTTTAATAAGCGCAAACCCTTATTTCGAGATTTCGATATTATTTATTAACTCGTTAATTTTTCGTTTTTTTTTTTATGCCAGTTCAATGATGTATGATATATGTAATGACATAGCGGCATTTACCGTGCATTATCGATCGAATTGTCGGATTTGTCCTCCTCCTTGCTGAGCTCCAGGTTCGCTTTGCCGCAAAACTGATTGATGTCATGAAAGAGATTCTCGCTGAGTCTGTCGGTCAGATCGATGAGGTGCTGATTGCATTCCTCATTCCATGTACTTTCCACCGGTGATATCCGTTTTTCCACGGCGTCAGGTTTTTTATTCTGCAAGATTTTATTTGGCTGCAATAGATTGAGTAATGCTGTATTATAGATATTCATTATGTTTTTATGATATTCGTCATTCCCTATTATTTAGATGAGGATTCGATTCTATGCCGCTTGAATTAATATGTTTCCTCTTTCATTGACATTCAATGTCGGAGAGATTAGTAGTTAAACAAAAAAGAACTTTTATGATTTGAAGTGACAAGCTTTTTCGTATCCAATGTATAATAATATTTTATCAATTGTCTATTCATTTACTAGTACGTCTCAGTCAATTAATTTCTCGTTCTAAAATATTAGACAAATAACGAAGAGTCCAAACGAATCTTAATTATTAATCTTAAATTTGTATTAATTATTAATCTTGAACATTGTATTTTACGCTTTGCTTGATTAATTTGTGAGTTAACGATCAATTTATACAATTTATACAGTGGATTATTGTCAGAATAATATTTATTTTTAAGCTTTGTATGTCCGCGTGTAAACGGTCGTTGTTTTAAGCGGAGAGGGAGCGAAGGAGTATTTAACGGAGAAAAATTCCATGTAAATAATGCTTTTAGTGAGTAAACAACTTTTAATCATACGATTCTTATAATTATTATCTATCAAATTGAATTTGCGATTTCAATTAAATGCATGATCCGTAGCAATGTAAGGAAAAATAAAATACGCTTAACCTTTATGGTATAAAATCGTAATGAGTAGTGTTGAATAGTGATACGTGAAATGGTAGTAAGCAATAATATTAATTCATATTGGAAAATTAATTAAAAAATTTCAATGACAGTCGAATAACTAGTGCGAATTTACTAATTAGGGATTATATTTCTTCATATTATTAATCTTACATAGAGCCATTCTCCTTACTTGTGCGAATTATAAAATCTTTAGCGATAGTCGATAATAATACAAAATTTACTTTAAAACTCGTAATTGTTATTATGACAGCATTATTGATAGCTTTTCTTAAAGTTTGATATCGTTCGCTAATTTATGAAGCATAAAATGAAAACGTGTACATGTTTAAAGCGATAAAATCGAAGTCGCAGTTTTACATGCACACGGTATTGAATATTTTCGTTAAGTCATTCGGTATTAGAATGTAATAGTTAGACATTATAAAAATAAAAATTTTTCGTCACTAGATATTAATATATATATATATATATTTTTGTTTTTTGTTTTTTCTGCAATGAATTTGAAAAAAGCATCGATAACCTCGGTGAAATTTTGAAGTTTTGAAGCACGTAATTAGTTATAATGTTTGAAGTAAAAAGTAAAATTTATTCCTATACGATCACCTATGGCTCATCCAATTTTTATGCAATCAATTAGCATCGATAAGTTTATCTCCAAGTAATGGCGTAATTATTATTAAAAATATTTTTAATACGCAATCATATTAATAATGCAGCATTAATTGATTAATGCAAACTACGATTTATTAGGATTAATTATCCAATATTGTAATACAGACATTTTCTTTTTATAGATATATCATAAACGATTGAAATTTATAGGATAATAAGCTATATCGTTTGGAAGAGCTTACATTGTATTTGTGAGATTATTTCGTAAAACTTGAAAGTGTTTGAAAAATTTGAGAATGTAATTCCAGTGGCAAAATGAATAATATAATCGAAAGAGTTTACTACTGACTGTCGATTGGGCGCACGATGGTGTGTCATTCGGCTTTTTTGAGCCTTCGTTGATTACGCTGATAACGGAACCGACGGATTCGGGCGAGCTCGTTCCACTCGAGTCACTGTCGAGGTCGTCGGTTTCCGGATTGAAGAGCTCAAGCTCTAGGAATCGCGGGAGGAGCTTTTCCACGGGCTCTGGGCCAGAGGCATGTCGCACCAGAGGACACGCAGGTCTAGTGCGCGCGGCAAAGCCCGGCTTTTGACGCAACAGCTCTTTTATTTGACGTAGTCCGAGAAGACGACTTTCCTCTTCGTCGCCCGGGACATTGGCTTCGTCACAAATCTCCGAGGACTCCAAGCTCGTTTCTACAATGATCCAACAAAGCTTGTAAGTTAATTTTTATTAATTATATTCACATTGATCTTCTGATTATTCATTAATAAGTTTAATAATAGATTTAGCCTCTCGAAGATTATCATTTAACGCCAAGCTAGTGCATAATAAATCAACCGAGTCTTTTGTTATTTAGATGATAAGGAGCTCGACAAGTGTAGATGAATAAGCTTTTATTTAACGGCCAGAATTTTAAGCTCTACAATCGTGTGCGTATCGCGTGCGGGGGCTAATTTTTTTTTTTTCTATTCAATCTAGCTCTGACCGAGGCACCTACTTCTCTTATTTTTATTTTGTTATTATTATTATTATTATTATTATTATTATTATTATTAAAGCGCCATACGCGTTTATAATAATCGTAATCATAATCATCGTTATTGCCTTAAAAGTCTATAGTAATAGACTTATAATTGTAATGTAATGAAAACGTGCAATATAAGTGATTATACCTATGGCCGCCTCTTGGATGGCGACAACGGGCACTGGTTGCTGGGACACGGCAGCGTTCTCGGAACCCGAGAAGAAGGGCCTTGCGGCGGCGAGGCAGTGGGTCCGAGGCGAGAGACCCGGGGGACTCGGTGGTGGTAGACTCTTACTCGTAGCCGGAAACTGCTTGAGAAGGGGAGACGAGGGAATAAGTTTAAGTCGATGCGAGGCCCCGAGCTCGGGGGTGTACTTCAGTCGGGGTGATGGCGGTGCTGATGTTGCACCCTGTTGATGGCTCGGGGCGACGGTGGGGCTCTCAAGCAGGGGGCATGGACTCTTCTTTGGCACGTAGATGACTGACGCGAAGCTGTCCTCGGAATCGACGCTCGTGTCGCTTTGCAGACTTCCATCCTTGGATGAATCGGATCCGTCTTCGCGGGAAGGCCGACGCTCGCTCGACTCCACTGATTTGGACGGGTAGGGGATCGTTGCCGCGGTCGTAGGGGCCGTCGACGTTATCGGGTTTTCCGTCGACGTCCAGCTCTACATTTAGAGAGAGAGAGAGAGAGAGAGAGAGAGAGAGAGAGAGAGAGAGAGAGAGACAGACAGACAGACAGACGTTGACTCGGTCATTCGTCGAGTAGAGCAAGAAGGCCGCGGAATGTTCGTAAATTCGTCTTGTTTTCGTCTTATAATTCTTTACATTGAAAATTCGTTTGTTTTTGGACGGTGGATGGACAAACTTTTTTTTTTTAAACCAAATGACCAGAATCACAACTTTTTACTATCGCAATACAGACTTTTTGCTAAAACAAAATATTTTTAACTCGGTATCTCGATTTTAAGCATTTAAATGCTATAGTTGGTAGTCATTGTTTAAGAATAACAAACGAATTTTACAATAAATCATTATATCCTTGTATTCTATCTAATATCAAGTCTGTGAATAATTGAAACAAAAAAAAAAACAGGAATAAAGAATGCTGATTTTTGACAATTGTAACTCGTAGGTGTATGCCCAATCACTTTTAACTTTTTACTTGGGCTTATATTATTGTATGAGACGACGAGTAGATAATCCTTTTTGTTTGTCTGTATCTTTTATAGAAAATGTCAAAGAATTTGTTTATTTAGAAAATTAAATATTATTTACTTATCCATAGTTCTTTACATTGCTTTTCGTCCATTTTAAATTTGTATTGCGTAATCTATATTTTTACACGAGCTTAATCAGTGAAAAGAATTTTACAGTCATTTGTAATAACGCCCGAAGAAAATGTGGCTAATAATTTTGTACTTCAAAGATAAGGAAATATAAGAGAATCTACCTGTAATATCCTGACGAAGCCATTCTTGATCGATATCCCTGAGACCTTCTCGATATTCGTCGTGGACTGTCTAATGCGGCTTGTCAGCCCGTTTTTCAGCAGCTGGAATCTCTTGGTTGCACTGCCTGAGTACAGAGTGTTCTTGAAAACCTCGAAGGTTGGTCGGTCCTTGTAAATAAACTCCTCGTTCAGCGAAGCTTGCTTCGTTATATTTCTCCGTGTGCTCTCGCGCTCTTTCAGCCTTTCCATCGACATCAGCTCCTCGTCCATCGAGTTTTGCTTTTGCATTAAGTTATCCCGCCTGGTTAGCGCCATCTGCATTCGCCACGTTCTCCGATCACTCTCACACGAACTCTAAATTTGTTACTTCTAATTGTAAACTCAACGTTCGAGAGCAATGGGTTAATAAGAATTTCAGGCATCATTAAACGGATTATCTTACCGCGGCTGCCAACAAGTACGTATGATTTCATGACGATTACCATTCGTACAGAAGACAAGTTTATTTGATTTTATTTTATTTATTTATTGTTTTCTTTTTTTTTTTTTTTTTTAACTAGGAAAATGCCATTAAGAAACGACTTTAATCGAGGTTTAATATTTAATATAAGAGGTAGTTAAAGCTCATCGCTGAACACTTACTTGAAAATTTGGAACATCATTGTGCGTGGATTGTATGGCAGTGTTAGTAGGTGAGCTATCGCCGACTTCTTTGTGCATATGCGTTTTGTCTTTTACGAGTTGAGATTTGGGAGACTGCGGTGGCAATTGGGCGTGGTCGTAATGTTGGTGATAGTTGTGATGTTCTTGTTGTTGTTGTTGTTGTTGTTGGTGGTGGTGGTGGTGGTAGTGGAGGTGGTTGTGGTTTTGTTGCTGTGGGGTTTCGTCTGCGGCGTTGTTAAGCCCCGGAACACTGGAGCGCGAGCGCACAAGATCCAGTCGTTGCGCCTCGAGAATGTCACCAAGGCTCTTGGACTTTATGCCAAGGCTGTCGCCGTGATGGCTTCGACCGAGAGTCGCACCCTCCTCTAGGCGACGTAGCTCGATTGGCAAATCCTCGACGTCACCGTCGTTATCTTCGTCACCAGATCGGCGCTCTTTGCTGCTGGTCTGCCAGTTCTCGAGGAACCATGCACGACTACCTCGTCGGCCGCCCGCCAGTTTCTTTAAATTTTAACAGGCCAATTTGACTTACGTTTACAAGGCTTTGGACCATCGATTAAAAGACGCCTTTTAATTATTCTTGGCAATTGAAATATATCGAAACCTTCTTTTTCTTATTTCTCAAGTACGCATAACATCGACTCTTAAAAAATTTTATAGAGAAAATTTATTAATTTTTTAGAAATATAATAATTAAAGTATAATGTAAAGGACAGTTCCGCTATATCAAGTTATTATATAGAATTGGGCATGCGATATTAAAAAGAAAAAAATAAATATATATATAAAAGTATCTAGAAGTGGATTTATAGACTTTACATTACAAATAAAGCGTAGCGAAAGGGACACCGCAGCTAACGCAAAATTATAAAAGTCATGTGGAAAAGGGACAAAGAATGCTTACTCATTGAATTTCTATATAACACACACACACACACACACACACACACACACACACACACACACACACACTACATATACACTTATAGCTTTGTATTTATATAAAAAAAATCTTGTAATTTTTAATAGAATACATTTTTGCAGGTTGCGTATTTATTTTTAGATAGGCATTGTAGTTTGAACTATGACTAAAGTTTTCGATTTCGGCATACAAATAATAAAGCAAGAGAAAAGCTCAGATTTTAACTAGTAGGAACTTTTAATAATTGTTATATGATTTTTATCATCACTATCCTCCTTATTCTTATTTTTCTTCTTCTTCATATTATTATTATTTTCATTTTATCTTACACTTAAAATAAATGTAATTCATTTTATTTGCGCCAATTTTGAAATAATTAATGTCTCTTTTATGTAACGTCGATTGTAAATATTTTCATAAATGAAACTTAATAAAACAATTGTTTACGACTAAAGCAAATTCGTTATAAATTTAGTACGAATAAAATGTACGCGATTTTGCTATCCATTATGATTCTGAACGAAATGAATGAACGAAACGAATAATTCGACTTTCATTCTGAATAATATTTAACTAAGTAACTATTCCCTAAGAAAGTTAAAAAGAAAAACATATTATGTATGCTATCGATATCATAACGATTGGGCTCGCATACGGCTTAATATGGGGTGGGGGGTTGTACATTATCTAACAGATCATCGAATATTTTCGTGAATCGAAAGAGTATTTGTAATAACGGCATTGCTCACTTGTAGGGCTCGTCGAAAGAAGCTGTAGCACGTTTCGTTGGGGCTAGAGAGGCTGCTCGTAGAAGGCGACGGGCTGATAATTGGATCTATCCAGTAGTTCTTTCCGTAATTCTGACTATTTCTGCAACGAATTAACGATAAGAAATTATTAAACTTGGGCTTGCGTTCTGCTACTCCGTGCCTTACCTTTTAGATAATAAATACGTTTGGACGCTTTTTCCTCGACGCCTGTCGTCGTACGACATACCACGGGGCTTCATCGGACTCCCGGATGAATTAATACAATAAGCTTTCGGCCATGGCACCAAGACATCTTGTGATTCGAACTGCAAATAATGTAATTTGTTCACGATTAGGGTCAATAGGTGGTTCTGCCCTTGGATGCCTATTTCACGCGCTCATTTGCTCCAGGCAATATATATTGTACATATTGATAAATAAACAAATCTGGCTTCCAACATTTATTATCGAACGAATGATAGTCTTTCTGAGATAACTGGAGGGGCAAGTTTGATACTTTTGCTCCATTGATAAATGTTTGCAGACAAATGTTTAATAATGGATTTTTAGGCATAGCATATAAAGTAAAATAAAATAAAATAAAGTAAAGTAAAATAAAACGTTATCGACTCTTTTTTTGTCGATGTTGACATTCTTAAATTGAGAAGAAATATTGGAGAAAATATTAACAATATGAATGTCTTAATTCAACTTGATTACGTATCTTAACGTAATCAATCAGTTTAACAATACATTATTTACAATGTACAAATCAATAAATGAATAACGCGTTGTTCTACATCGTACTTCACTCATAGTACGTTGCGTTTTAAATGGAAAGCTCAATTGTTCACGATTCAATTGTTCACGTCTCATCATTCAAAGATGAAAAGAACCCGCGGGAATAAATAGCGAGTTTCATTAGCATAAATATAATATATACCCCTCCCTCTCTCCCTCCTCGTAATTGCTATTAGAGGCAGTCAATGACTTAGAGAAAGTAGAAAAAAAAGCATACTCCTTTTAAGTCGTTGATAGACGAGCTCCTTACCTTCCTGTGTTTTTGTTCCATTGCCCAGACGGAGATGACGATACGACCGCCAATCCTCAGGACACGCGCCAGCTCCTTTAGGGCATGTATCCGACGCTCCGTTGTCGAGAGGTGGTGAACCACTGCAATCGAGAGAACCGCGTCGAAACTCTCGTCCCGGAAGGGCAGCCCCAGATTGTCGCATACAAGTACCTGCACGGGCGCAGTACTTTAATTATTGAATAATAATATTTTAATTAATAGTAATGGTTACGGCATTGCACTCTAATGCCTTCCTTTGATTATTACTATTGAATTTTAGAAAATCTTCCTGTTTTTTTATTTATTTATTAATTTTTTTATTTTATTCGGATATGGGAAAGACCAAGAAATAACGAGTCTGTTATATGCGAATTATACGCGAATGTATGAGTAGAGTAAAATTTTTCTATAAAGCGAATATTTCATGGTTATGTAAAAAGTTTAGCCATATTTTATCTCACAAACATCGTAATTTTGATTATTATCACTTGTCCACTTGTAAGTAGACAGACAGATTAAATGTAAATGTAAGTGCGTTCGAAGCAAAAATTTTAATAGTTTGATGTTTCAAGAAAATTTTCATGTTTTGACAGAGATCCTGGATAAGTGTATTTCATTCTATTGTCTGTCCTTTTGTTTTTTGATTATCAATAAATATAGTTTGTATTAGTACGAGATTTGGTAGGTAGTGTTGCTGCATATTTTGAGATAATAAATAATTTAATAAATTAAATATAAAATTGTTTATATAAGCGCGCGCGCGCGTGTGTGTGTGTTTAAAGTAAAATATAATAATAAAATTATACCTCATTTTTTTTTTCACGTGCAATACTTGTAAATTTCTGACATCGGTCCACTCCGATCTTGAAAATGCTATGGTTGACATCGAGATATTTTCCATTTCCGCAGCCTTCCAACAAGCAATAAATGTTTCCATATCGTTTTGCTTTTTATTGTTTTTTTTTCTTATTTATTTATTTGTTGCTTTATTTAGAAGAATAATTTTATAAGAATACTTATATTTGCAAGTAACCAGTCTGTTGAACAACCAACTTTAATAATAATAATTTATTCACAGTTCTTTGCATTTCTTTGGATAATTTATTTTTCACAATGTATTATTCATTCTATTTCGAATATCACCAATGCAACGTCTTTATCGCTAAATTTAATTGCCCGTGTCCCTAAGATTTTAATGAATTTAAATATTTTATCGAGGATATTTAATTTTTAAATACTTTTTCGAACAAGTCGAACTATCGCTGTTTAATTAAAATTATTAATTTAAAATGATAAGTGGAATTTTGCGAAATATATATAATTTTATCCGAGAGCCATAGATAGAGGTCGAAAAAGGTAAAAAAAGGAAAAATTTTAAATCGTCCTGTTAATAATTGAGTAATTTGCTTTCTGAATTTAATAGTCTTGTGCCCGATTTGACGGATGATTCGTCGTAAGATGCCCGGCAGGCTTGTCAAAACATCCCGATATTCACAGATTGCGGCAGTCCTCGAGGCACATATGTGTGCCTCTTTCTATCTTTCTCCATACATACCGATGTCGCAAACAAGGGCACCGGGCTCGAGCTCCTCAAGGAACTCTTGTATGCGGGGCCAGTGTCTGCCCTGGACCGTCCTGTCGGCACACTGCTCATATACATCGTGCACGTAGGCCTGTTCAAGGGCCAGGGACCTGGCCGTCTTCTCGCCGTCGCTTTCAGACATCCCGACCAGCGCCGCTCTTTCTTTTTACCGCTACTGTGCATATCATAATGGAAGCTCCGTGTTATTGGTAATCGGGGCTGATTGACTCGACGGCTGTTTGGGCGATAAATCGTTCGGACGTTGTCCAGGAGTTGTTAAGGAGTAGTTTGGGTATGGAGTGGCTAGCGCTGTCACTGTATTAGCAAGAAGACGAGGTTGACAAACGGGAACAGAAGCTTGCGTTTGAAACGTGGAGATCGAGGGCAGGTTGAAGCAACCAGTGGCAGCGATATCATCACTGGAAAGCTTCGTTAGATCAGGGGAGGGGGAATTGTCCGAGTAATCCTCTGTATATGAAAATATACGTGACAGGCGGCGTGTTAAAAATTCTTTTTAAATTAATATTTTTAATTTTTTCACTTAACGACATCGTCGTTTAAGGATAGAGGTAACGGAGATAAGGTAAGCGAAGTATAGCTTCCTTATCTTTTTCCTGTATTTCCTACCAGTCATTGTTAGCTTTGTCACGAGTATTGCTCCAAAGAACGTAATGTAGATGCGCAGGACTTGCTTATATCTTGGGAAATGAAGGAACGGATAGCTTTTTGTAAGTACGATTGCGTGGCACTGTTGGATTTTTTTTTATATGACACTTAGGCGACCTTCAACTCGAGCTTTCCTCCAGAAATTAGCTTGGAGCAACCCCGATTTTTACCTACCTTTTATAATCAACAGCCTAAAAGATGGGAGCCATTTTATTACTGAGTGACGTTCGTAGTAACCGATTTTCTTAACACGTGGGTGACAAAGTTCCAATGTCAAAAAATTCAGCGGTGCTCTAATTTGGAATGAAGTGATTCCAGCGATCTCAGCTCGTGTCGGCAAGCAATGCAATCATTTGAGATTCACTGCTGTCGGTCTCAAATGCTTTTATAAACCTACTGTTAACAACAAGAAAAAATAAGAGAGAGAGAGAGAGAGAGAGAGAGAGAGAGAGAGAGAGAGAGCTGTACAAGTTAGTTATGTAGTTTAGCCGGGACGTCATGAGTGGTTTAGTTTCATACGGGGATGTCGTCGATCTTGCTATAATACCGGGATTAATAATATTAGGATATAAAGCATTGGCGGGTGAGGCTGCGCGCCTCATTTTTAGCGCGGAATTGGATTAGTTGAAGTCGCGAGCTGGGAAGCAATGGCGGCAGACGGGACAAAGAGGAAAAACGAGAATGTGTGCACGAGGTATATCGGTCGAACCATCGCGTCATCCTTAAACAGAAGAGACGATGCGTGGCTAATTATCGTAATCTTCGATTCTTCTACTTTATAGGATGTGCGAATTGTAGGTGACACGGAAAGCAAAAGTAATCTATAAAGACCGTGATTTTATTTATGAAATTTAATTATCGAGAAAAAGTGGATTCACTTTGTTACAGTAAAGTATACTTGCTATTAAGACTAAATTCATGTCCTTTACACGTTCCCTTCCTTCGACATTCTTAAAAATCTTCATTAGTTAATAATTCATATTGAATAATTCAATACTAGTCTAGATTACTTAATTAATAGTAGACGTGTGGAAGTATATATTTGTCGCTATATTTTTTGGCCCCTAATATTTTAAATAAAATAATTGATTAAATTTTTAAATATTTTGCAAGTTCATCACCCGTTGATCGGTTTTACGAACGGTCAATACTTGGGATTTTCATAAGAGAGTGTGTCGCACTACCCATTCATCTAAGGAATATTGACGTTAATGTCGAACAATAATCGAAGTTTATAAAATAACTTCTAGAAATGCAATGAGAATAAATGAAAAAGTTTTGTCATTTGACACGTAAGAAATTAGGAGTATTACTTTGTACAATTTGCACTTTGCCGTAGTGTCATCCTAATTCTTTTTTTTTATTTTTTTATAAAAGCATATATAATATTATTAACAATATTTTGGAGGTTTATTGAAAGAGGCAAACTCCCAGGGTATCGTAAGATTTTTTTAACGCTTCGATCGTTTGGATTTTTATAAATCACGGAGTATTTCATGTCACGCTAGAACATAAATGCTTAAGCGAAAACTTTCAAATTCTGTTGTAGAAGGAGTAATATGCTGCGTAGAATTTAAGTTTTTCCGTTCTGTTTGTGCGAATGAGTGAGTGAAGGTGTGTGAGCGAGCGCGCGCGCGCGTAAGTGTGCGTGCATGCGTATGCATATGAATGAGAGTGAGCGAACGAGCGTGAGTAAGCGTGAGTGAGAGAGAGAGAGAGAGAGAGAGAGAGAGAGAGAGAGAGAGAGAATGAGCCCTGTACTTTACCTCATTTATGGTGATCTTTCTATAGGTTCCAAATATTTCATCCTTTCACTGGCGTTCGAGGACCGACTGCAATGCGAATATAAAGAATTTATGATATTTACGTTTGAGTTAGAAAAAATATTTTGTTAGAAAGCTATTAGTTAGAAATAATTTGCGATTATTTTACATTAATTAATTTTAAGTAACGCTACCACTCTGTCAATTTTGATTAGTAATATATTTTTGATAAATATTTCTAAGCAATGGTACCAGTTTGTATTTTTATTTTATCATCAAGTCGGCAATATCATGATAAACTAATTAAGGTATTCAATTTATGAGAAAGTTCTATGAAAATGCTTCAGTCTTGTTTAATAAATTATACTTATTGCTCAAATAAACGTAGTTTTCACAGATAGGAAAGAGAATTTTGATTTTTTCAAATCGATTTTTCATTGCGATTATTTTGTGTATTTTGTGTATCGAAAATTCATTTCACTGCGATTATATTCTCTGCCGAAAATGATCATTCTTCCGTACCCTTAACCATTAAGCGAACGAGCAATGTATTTTTTATTATTGATATATCTCTGTAACACTTTCTCGATAGTAATTGCCGATGGATTAAACTATTAGCATAAATTTTTGTATAACAAATATTGGCTATAATTACATTGAGTATCATTATAGTTTCGATCCATGTCCTTATACTACATGTTTTTAACATTTGCCATTTCATTGACGGTAATAAAAGATCTTGATTATAAAACTTTTTTAATTATTCAGTTTTTATAACTTTTTTCTTTAATTCTTTTGAAATTTATTTATTTATTCACTTAATAATAATAATAATATTATTCTCTTAATTCATATTAAATTAATTGCTGACATACGTTTAATATTAGAATTATTCCTTGCGAAATACGAAATTTTGAATTGCGAGTAATAGACGCAAGCCTTTGCAGTGTAGTCGATAATAAATTTGCATGAAAGAAATTGTAAATATACGTGTTGACAATAGCATAAGCACGAAGCTTTGTAGTGTGATCGACTTTCAAATTTCAAGATATTGACGTTATCAACGAGCTAAAGATTTATTTTATAATTATAACTTACTAAAGTATTAGATTACAATCAAAGCTTGCCTTTACATGATTCTTTGTTTTTTAATTTTTTGGATAATATGATTAATCCTTATTATTTGAAAATCCGATAATTGTAATCGTATTATATATTTTATATTCAAATCGAGTTTTCCAATGTCTAATTTATCTAACCCAAAGCATTTTTTACCGACTAGTAACGCATATATTATAGATACGAAGTATTTTAATACATACGATATATTCACATTAAATAAAGAATTAAATAATTGAATAATTATATATATTAGCATGCATTATAAATTCGCGTTCACCATATTGATTGAACGATAAGTTCAATTAATTTGGTTTTATTCATATATAATACATTTAAATAGAAATTTTAATTAAAAAGTTAAAATCTGCTAGAGGATTTTGCAATGTTTGTGTAAGCAAGATTGAAAAATATTTAAAAGGCTGCAAATTGACAAATTGTGCCTAGACGGAGAAAGTATTTCAAAATTTTATCCGTGCACTCACAGGCAACCTTAAGCGCTATTTGTTTTCCCGTTTATTTATCATTTACAATATGTAGAATGTTTAATGCACCTTTTTACTTATACATAATAATAAAGTATTTCGAGTTTATTTAATTATAAATTTTAATACAGAGACAAGAAGAAAATGAGAGAGAATGAAAGATAGAATGAAAGAGAGAGAGAGAGAGAGAGAGAGAGAGAGAGAGAGAGAGAGAACGGAGGGAGGAGTTCTGCAAATCGATCAACTTTAATATCTCAAAAATATTGTCTAATCGATGTTGTAACATGGTGGAAATAAAAATAGTGGAGGAAGTATAGTTTGTGTGAAGGCTCGCTCGACAAAATAACGAATAGCTTATTTAATATGGAACTAAATGGCGCCGAAAGAATTGGCACCTGGGAACAGAACGTTCAGAATTCCAGATGATTTGAAATAGGTGGGAATGTACACATTGGAGGTCTAAAGTTGTGAAATAATAAATGATAAAGGCTCGTTGTGCCCGCGGAAAGGGGGGGGGTCGCTTTGTGCGACCAAAAATCATCGTCGGTATTACCGGTCGCAGTATGCAACGAAACGCAATGAAACGTTCCTCGATCGATTCGCAGAGGTCGCCACTCTATATCTCATCCTAGGATGCGGCTCTTCTCTTCGTTCTGTCAGCACTCGTTCTTCTCGACGTGAGGATTGACGGGCGGGGAGGCGACGTCCGCAGCATTCGGAGATTCGTAAATCTTAAGTCACGGATGAGCCTTCTCCCGGAGCTTCTTCATGGTCTCCGAGTTCGGAGATGGTTCCGCTCTGCCGGATTGTCCAAATCTTCCATGCGAAGAGAATCTCACTACTAAATCTCTTATTACTGGCTTTCTATTCTCATTCGGTGGACTCAAAATAATGGCAAAATAACAGTAAAGTTAAATTTAATACAAGATTGCTCGATTAAAAAATAATTTTACGCCATTTAGATTTTTTCGTAATTATAACTCGATGTCAGATGCTTCGTGCGCACTCGATGTGTCTTTGATATTTCAAGAGGTAAAACGTTAGACGATAGGTACTAAAGTTAAAAAAAAAAAGTTTTCCCATACTTACGTCATTGCATGGGAAATGCGTAGAATAGTGGCGATTTACACATCGGTGAAAGAATTATTGCGAATAGGCTGATTTTTAATATGAATGCACGAAGAGTGCAGAGAACGACAGTGAATGCCGCTCGAGTCTCTGGCTCTCGAGTGAACTTTACCAATGTCATATAAAATTAAAATGTAACAAATTAAGGATTAGTTGCAATGTCTGTCTCGTTTATTCTATCAAAATATGGGTCATTTATAAGATAATTGATGGGACATATGCGTGTCGATGCTATCACATTACAACGTACAGTAATTGACGATGTAATACTATTAGCGATGAATAATCATTGAAAAGAAACGTAATTTTTTTTTTTTTTTTAATGATAATATAGCCTTTAATTTAACTGTAAATTGGTTATCATCTAGTTTGCTTCTTTTATTCTGTGTATTATTTGATGAATGGGCACGATCGATTAGAAGTAAATTTTAAACCGTTAATTAATGCCAGTCGCTCAGACATTTGAGCAAATGACAAAAGCATCGATTGACGAATGATTGTGAAAATGTTGATAAACTCTCATGATAAAGTCTGACCTGTATTGCGATTGGCTGGTTAACGGGACACGGGAGATGGAAACGAATTCACGACTGGAACACTTTGCGATCGTATCTTGCTAGATTTTAACATTTGAACTTTAATTCATTCGCTCTATAGCTTTATGCGCCATCATCGTCCGGGATGAACGCGAGGCATTGGCTTCCGGTGACACGATGCCATTTGCATTTCCGAAAACTAACGCGAGTGTATTTTCGATAGAATGCACTTTGTGCGAGGTATTGGCTGGATTGAATCCCTAAAAGAGTGACGATTTAAAAAAAAGCACGATGTTCGTAATGGGCATGTTATTAGAAATCAAGGAATCAAAGGTATGCGATGGACTATTATAGAGTTTATTTTGGAAATGTGAAATCGATTGTCATTGCTGTAAGATTGATGATTACAGTGCTTAATGTCATTAATTTTAATATGAATGAGCCGTAGCTATTGAATTGAAATGAATTGAAATGACAAAGGCTGTTGTAGCTCGCAATAAGATAACTGTAAATTGTTATATGCGTTATAAATTCTTTAGAGTGAGTGCGACGCACAATAACAAGAGTATGCAAATAAGTTTACTCTCTACATTGTTTAATGGATTTTCAAATCGCTCACCTTAAATTCTGTTAGCGGCGATGATAAGATTAATACAGAATGGATACATAGCGAGTTCTGAATAAGCATAAATGCGTTGGCTCTTCGATTTATAATATTACATCTTTTTACTATGAATTAGCAAAAATGCTGATTAGAGTAAGAAAAAGAATTCGCACTATTTCAATTAATTTGTTGAATTATCCTTGGTATATTGTAAAGAAGTATTTAAAATTGAAATATATCTTAAAAAAAAAAAAAACTTATCTTGAAACATTATTCCGGGTATGAATATTTATTATACACGTATTTAACATAAATATATTAATTTTTTATGCTTTAATCTATATTGGATATTCATTGTAAAGTATTTTCAATTAAGATTGAGGGGAGAACGAGCTTTCCAGTAAAATCACTATCATTCTACCATTGTAGACATTTTTAATGGAGTACATACGACCGTATTATTTAAAAAAATAAAAACAACTATTTATTATAAAAATATAAATTCTAATTTAATAGTGAACGATTGCGAGGATATTATAATATTGAGTTATATTAAAAATTAAAATGAAAGATAGTTAATTCTTTCATAACTCTTTGAATTTCGGTGTATTTGATTTAATTTCATTAATAATTTAGCTCGAATGAAGCAGCATATTTAAATAAAAACATGTCGATTTTTTATATTTTTAAATTTTCAATATTTTTAGCGCAATATTAATGCTATTATGAGTAGATGTAGAGTTTGAAATTTTGAAATTACACACTCTATAAGGTTTTAGTTTAAAATGAAAAGAAATAATTTCATTATATTAATTAATTTAATGCCACGAATTTATTATAAGACTTTTTTTCATACATTTATTAAATTGCTAATTATATTTAGATTATTACATTTAATTATAGATGTAACTTATAAACTTAATTATTTATTTCATCTATTATTATTCTAGTAATTTAATATAAATAACTTTATATTGACAATAAGTTTCGTAAAAAATGATTATACTACTTATATACATAACTTTATAAATTCAATCTTCCACTTAAAAAAAAAAAAATAATAAAAGTTAGAATTATTTGTCCTTTTTTGAGTACTTTAACTTTTATTTTTTTTTGTTTCGATTACGATTAATGAAATTACATCACTAAAATGTAATTGAAAATATAATTTTGATTTTACATAATATACTATAAACA